TGAGATTGTTGCATCAAACAGTAGGTTGATTTTTATTTTTTTGAGGAAGCTTCATACTGTTTTCCACAGAGGGTGTACTAATTTACAGTCACATCAACAGTGTATAAAGATTCCTTTCTCTCTGCATACACGGCAACATCTCTTTTTTTTTCTTTTGACTTCTTAATAATATCTGTTGTGACAGGGATAAGGTGATATCTCATTGTGGTTTTAACTTGCATTTCCTTGAAGGTTAGTGATTTGAGCATTTTTTCACATGTTTATTGGCCATTTGTCTATCTTATTTTCAGAAGCTTCTTTCCATGTCTTTTGTCCATTATTTAAAGGGGTTGCTTTATTTTTTTCTTGTTGATTTGCTTGAGTTCTTCGTAGCATCTGAGTATTTTCTCACATTCTGTAGATTGCTTATTGGTTTTATTTATTTGGCTGTGCAGAAGCTTTTTAATTTAACCAAATCCAAATTATTTGTTTTTATTATTTCTGTGATTTCTTTTGGGTTCTTCTTCAAAAATTATTTGCCTAGGCCAGTATCAAGAAGAGTTTTTCCAACAATATCTTCTAGAGTTCTTATGGCTTCATGCCATACATTTAAATCCTTTATCCATTTTGAATTAATTTTTGTAAGTGGTGAAAGATATAAATCCCATTTCATTCTTTTGTATGAGGATATCCAATTTTCCCAGCACAATTTATTGTATAGGGATTCTTTTCCCCATTGTGTATTATTGTTTGATTTGTCAAAAATCAGCTGAGTGTATATGAATGGTTTTATATTTGGGCATTCTGTTCTGTTTCATTGGTCTATTTCTCTATTTTCTGCCAATTCCAGGCTGATTTAGTTATTATAGCCTTGTAGTATAGTGTGAAGTCTGGTAATGTGATGCCTCTTAATTTTTTCATTTTGCTCAAGATTCCTTGGGCTAATCAGGCTTTCTTCTGATTTCACATGAGGTGTAGAATTACTTTTTCTGAATCTGTGAAATATAACATTGGTGTTTTGATGAGGATTGGATTGAATCTGTAAAGCACTTTGGGTAGTATGGACATTTTAACAATGTAGGTTCTACTAATCCATGATCATGTTTGTTTTTGTAATTGTTTGTTTTTCTAATTGTTTGTATCATCAGTGATTTATTTCCACAGTATTTTGTAGTTCTCTTTGTAGCGATCTTTTACCTCCTTCATTAAGTATATTCCTGGGTATTTTATTTTCTTTGTAGCAATTGAGAATTGTATTATCTTTGATTTGACTCTCAGATTGACTGTTATAGGTGTATGAATACTATGGATTTTTATACATTGATTTTATAACCTGAGACTTTACTGAATTTATTTATAAATCCTAGGAGTCTCTTGGTGGAATCTCTGGGGTTTTCTAGGTATAAGATCATATTGTCTACATAAAGTGACAGTTTGATCTTCTATTACCAAATTTGGATATCCTTCATTTCTTTCTCTTGTCTGATTGCTCTGACTACGACTTCCAGCACTATGTTGAATACAAGTGGTGACAGTAGGCATCCTTGTTTTGTTCCATGTCTTAGTGGGAATGTTTTCAACTTTTCCCCATTTAGTATGATGCTGGCTGTGGGTTTGTCTTATATGGCTTTTATAATTTTGAGATATGTTCCATCTGTGCCAGCAAAGAAAGGCAAGCCTTGAGAAGAATTCTCTTCTGATTCTCATTTAATTCACGCGGTGTCCATCTATCCAGCTTGTTTACCTTGCCCATTTGTTTCACATAGTCCAGTATTGTTGGAATAGTAAAGTCAAACCTTGCTGCTAATTTATGCATAGGTTGAGATGGATTCACTTCCACTACAGCTTTCAGCTCATCATATCCACCGTGGTCTAAGATCACCCATATGGCTCAGTTTCAAGATTAAAATCACCAGAATGGAACTTTTCAAAACATCGATGTACTATGCATTCATTAGCCACATCCTTCCCAAACACTTTGTTCATATTTTGAGCTGTGTATGCAACATTGGTTCCACAACAGAACTCATATTTGAAAATAACATGAATTTTTTAGTTATTCATGGTTTCACAAAAATTTCTCTAAAAAAATATTGAGAGATAATTACAAGCCAAAATGTGTGTTTTCAAGAATGAGGATGTACCTTCACAATAAAAATATAACCATAAATATAAAAGTGAAATGTCATAGTAATCAACTGTCAAACTTAGTATGAAATGAAATTGGATATTTCATAGCTAATAACCATAATATAATGAATTTAGACAACTACCATGAATTGCTTTATAGTTCTGTCATTTGCACTAGCTCTACTTCTCTCTCTACCATTGTTTCTCTATCTCCCCCCACTTTCTCTACCACTCTTTATATCACTCTATCTCTCCATCTTTATAGCCATATTTCTTGTTGCTTTTCTATTTTCTATTGCTGTCCATCTCTTACATTTTTCCTTCTGTATCTCCTTTTTCAGTTCTCTTTCTCCTTCTCTATTTTTCTTTATCTCTCCTGTTTCCTATCATCTATCTCTATTTCTATGTCTGTGTTTCTGTCACTCTATATGCCTATCTTCACCTATCTTTTTCTATTTCTCTATTTGTATCTCTCTCATATATTTCACTTTCCATCTCCATTTCTCTTCTTTTCTTTCTGTCTCTTGATATTATGATCATAAGAGCTACTTTAAAGTCTTTGTGATTCCAACACATTTGTCATCTTGGCGTTAGCATCTGCTGATTGGCTCTTCCTTTGGAGATATTGAGGTTTTCCTGGTTCTGTACTTACTGAGAAATTTTAGGTTGTATCCTTCACATTCTGAATATTATTTTATAGGGCTCTAGCCATTGTTTAAAGACTACAAAGAAGGCTCAGACTTTTATTTTATTTTATTTTATTTGTTATTAGGTAACTGTCCCAGTTAGGGGTTGCAAGTTTTTATCTGCCTTGAGTGGATAATTCCAATCAGTCCTGTCTCTAAGCCATTGCAGTATTATTCAGCCTGGTTCTGTGTGCACTGCCCAGTGACCACTCTGGGACCTGGGCAGTGTGTCTGCTCCTACTTCAGTTTGAAAAGCCTTTCAAAGTTTGGTAGGATGTTTGGGGTTGTTCTTATTTATGGCTGCACAGCTAGAGGATGAACCCAGGAGTCCAAACACCATTGCATGAGATTTTTCTTAATCTCCCTCCTCTCTGCAGTGTCTACAATACTTTCCAATTCATGGAAGACACCCCCTCTGGCCAGATAGGGTGGGCTTTGGTACACTGCTGTGTGTGCATTTCCCACAATGGTGTCTGTCTCCAGAGCCAAACAGGGAGAGGATAAAGAGAGAACAAAAGCCACTAGAACTCTCTCTCAGGACCACAGCTGCTTTGGTCAGAAAAAAGGTTCCCTTTTCTCAGAATTCTAGGCTCCTGGCTTTCCACAGCTGCTGTCACTGCCACTGGGATTTCTTGGGGCTGGGAGAGAATGAAGAAAGACCAAAAAAGCACACACACCCCCTAAAAAAATCAGGGCTTTTGACCACAGAGAGCTCCCCTTTCTCTATGTCCTCACTTGGTGCACAGTTCCAAATTTCTAGTTGCCTTTGAGTCCAACCCAGGGAATACTTGAGAGAAAATAAATGAGAAACTTGCTGTGAATCAGCAGTGCTTCACTTTCTGATTGCCCTCTCTGATTGGCCTGCTACCATTTATTTTTCAGAGTTTTCAAGTTCAGGGTTTACAGTTGCATTCAGTGAGAGAGATGGGGCAGAATATGCTCGATCCAAATTTTCAAGATCTGGAACTCATTTCTGCCAATGTGAATTTGAAGCGTTTTCTATAAGAAGTGCAGTTTACTTCCCCCCTTATTAATAAGGTAAGGAGTCACGAGGTTCTAGTTGTGAATGTAGGCCTCAAGAGGCCTCCTGTGCTTCTGCAAGATCTTGGACTTCCATCATCATCATAAGAGCAAGTCCAGCCCAGCCTGCTGGAGGGTGGCACACCACGTGCCGCAGAGCCGATTCATTCCAGCCCAGGACCTTGACCAGCCAGACCCCGTCCCAGCCAGACCCTCAGCTGATGAGCATGTGACCAAACCCACCAAGATCAGATGAGCCCGGCTCAGATCAGCAGAACAGCCCAGCAAACACACGGACTTGTGAGAATTAAAAAATGATTAGTGTTTAAGCCACTGTGTTTTGCGGTGATTTTTAGACACATTACTGTGGCAATAGAGTGGGTAGATGGATGGATAGAGAGATAGATAGAATATATATACACAAAGAGAAAAGGAAAGCTAGAAATACATGTATTATATATAGCATACAATATATGTGTAAATAAATGTATATATGATGTTAACATTTATACAAATATACATATCTCTAACTTTTGCTCTTTATACCTGTTTTCCATCTCAGTATTTCCATCTCAGTAGTTATTATATTTACTATTTCTGTATATCTGTCTCTATATTCCTAACTATGCTGCCCTCTATTTTCCTGTCACCCCCACCTGCTCTCTGTCCTTGTCGCTCTCTTTCTCCCACTAATTTCCGTTGCTGTCACTGTCTCTGTGGCACCCCCCCCTCCCTGTTCATACTCACCTCTCTGTCCTGTCTACATGTAACCTTCTATCTGTGTGGCTCTGTGGTTCTCTCTCTCCCTATCTCTCCCCTGACTCCAGTTCTCCCTTCCTGGACTGTTCCTTGTTTTTCTATGTGTCTACCTCCCCCTCCTTCTCCTTCTCTATCAGGATTCCATCTTCCCTCCCTCCCTGCCATGGCCATTCCTCTCTTGTTCTGTTCTATATTTTTGTCTTTTTTCTTCTCTCTGTCTCCCCCTACTTCATTCTAGAGACCTGAACCTCTCTCTGAATGTCTCTGTCCCTCACAAACTCTAGTTATCTCTGTATGCTGCTGTCTCATTCACCCTCTATTTTCCTGTCACCCCCACCCTGCTCTCTGTCTTTCTCTCTTTCTTCCACTAGTTTCTGTTGCTGTCACCGTCTCTGTAGCACCCTCCGCCTCCCTGTTCACACTCACCTCTCTGTCCTGTCTCCTCTGTGTCTTCCCTTCTTCCTACCTGGCCCTGCCCTCCAGCCTTGCTGGGGGCCTGTGGGTCTGTTCAGCTGCCTGTGATGGGACAGTGGAGCAAACTCACAACTGTAAATGTCCTTCTGCTTCTCCTGATAATTGTCCCTGTCACATATAAAGAGATCAGAATTATTGTGATGATGATAGAAAAATTGTAAAAAATATATATATAAAAACAAAAAGAACACAGCACTGGCTTGGGGAGGAGAGG